CAAGGACATAGGTAGACCCTATGTCTCTAACGCCCCATAAGTGTGCCTGTCATAAGCGGACTGCAATATAGCCCCCACTGGACTAGCCGGCCTGATGATAGGCTGAATAAGGGTTCGGGTCCAGCCTGGCCCGGAGGGAAAGCTCAGGCAAGGACGCAATTTTAATCCACTTCAGCCTTGATGAGAACAACCATTAGGGAGCAAGACTACTCGAAATTCGATGAAGCCTCAGGGTCTGCTGATATATTTTTAAGCGAAGCAGGATGATTACATCTCACGTAGATGATCTAAGTCAGCTCGAGAACCTACTTGTGAGAAAAATAAGACAACCTAGGTTCTATTCTCTTGGCATACCCAAATGACATTTGAATTGAAGACGAATAATGAGTGATAAATATTTACAGATGTGCAAAAAAACAATCAATCATCCGAGTCTGAGCCTGCGTCATCGATAGGGTCTAAGTGAACGTTTCCATCATAAAAAGAGGAAGGTTCTTTCACGGCAGATCTCTCTGGCATTTTCTCTCCAAATGCCTCTAGCTCTTCATGCAATGACATAAATTTGTCGGCCAGTGAATTTGACCAGGAATTTATCTCAAAATCTGCTCCATCCAAGTCGCAGTACTGAAAAATACAACATCAAATAGAGTGCGGTCAAAGGAAACATATATATCTTTGGGCTATGATGCTTACAAATGTATCTGTGGCAATCATTTCACGAACTCGCTTGCAAAAAGCCTCCCTCACTGTTTTACCTTCGGCAAGCTGTTGATCATATGCAGCCTTACGCCATAAGGACAAGCATTGCGAAATACGTGTAAGAGATGCATCCACATTGGAGAAATTTGCTTCGGAAGTATTTAGCTGAGCCAAAGCTTTGGAGGCATACACCACAGACGAATCAAAATCCTTCAGAATTGCACATGCCTACAAAGATCGAGTTTGGTGCACACAAAAATTATACACAAAAATTCAGACTATTGCATACCGAGGCCATCGTAAACAAGAGTTTGTAATTTGAAGAATCAAGCTTTAGCCCTTTTTCGCATACTTTTATACAGTAAATGGCCAGGTCACTTGACCGGAGAGCAGTACCCCTGTGCAAGATCTCAAAGGAATCACTATTTTCTAGCTTTTTGGTCAGGCGTAGTAAACAAAGACCAGCATTTGAGAAACAGGAAACCAGCCTTGCTTCGTCCTCTGTCTTAAGTTCACCTTTCTGGCAGGTCGAACCCTCAATAAACGCACCATCCAACATCCTGATTGCCAATTTGTATGCTGCTAGAGACCGA